GGCCTGTGTGCGTCAGTCCCAGGAGAGCTTTGCCCACCTGGCTCAGGGTCTCTGGTGCCTTTATTCCCCCTTGCAGGGAGCTGTGCCGTATCTCCTGCTCCTTCTGCCGCAGCGTCGCCGCCAGCCTGATCCCGCGGCTCAGCAGGGAAGAGCCCCTGTGGGAACTGCCTGCCCTGGCATTCCTGGTGGAGGTGAGCCTGATGGCGAGCGCTGCCTGGCCCAGCTGCCTCCCCCTCTCTGCCCTCTCACAGCCGCAGCCGCCTGGGACGGTGCCTGCACCCTGTGCTGCTGCCTGGGCCCAGCCCCGGGCGGGTCCGGGCTCCTGCCGGCCGGGCACCCCGTCACTGCTCCCTGCCTTTCAGGTGCTGCACTGCCTGAACCCCAGACAATGTGGGCTCAGCGTCCTGCAGGTTATTTCAAGGTGCCTGCGGAGTGAGTGCCCCGAGAGGCGTCGCCTGGCGCTCCGAGGCCTGCTGGTGATCAGCAAGGCTCCCGCACTGGTGAGCAGGGGGCAGGGGCTGAAGCCGGGCCGGCAGCGTGCGGCTGTGCAAGGCAGTAGCTTGGCCTTGGCTGGCCTTTGGCAGCTGTGCCAGCTGCTCCCAGCTCTCCTCCTCCCCGTTCAGCTGCCCGACTCCTTTGGGACGCGCCTTTGGCCTCTGGGCCCCGCGGCAGCAGCGTGGGGCTGCACCACAGCATTGTCTTCCACACAGGCTAAGAGCATCTGGAGCCTGAATGAAGGCCTCCTGGAGCTACTGCAGGATGCAGACACAGACACGGTTCAGATGACCCTCTCTGCGCTCATCAACGTGCTCCACATGAAGACCATCCAAGTATCCAGCCCCACTGCCCTGAAGTTGCTTGAGGCGCTGCGACCACTCTTTGACAATGTAAGGCTCTGTGTCCCTCATCATGGGCACTGAGTGCTGCCAGGAAACCTTGGGCCCAGTGTCTTTTCAGGCCTGTGCCCCGGTGGGCCTGGAGAAGCCAGGGCTGAGGTCTTTCGCTCTTCCTTTGCAGCAGGAGCACAGCCAGCTGCAGCAGCTCTCCATGGTCCTCTTCCGGGAGGTGATGGAAGTGACAGAGAGGAGCAAGAGCCTAAAGCCACACGTGTACCTGAGGCTGGTGCCATTCTACTTCAACTGGCACGATGAGAACCAGCGTGTGGCAGAGGTGAGGACTCGTGGGCTCTGGTGTCCCCATGGCAGGAGGCTGCTGTGCCACCTGCCCTGGCCCACGGTCGCCTGCAGCCTCCTCCTGGCCTTGGTGCAGGGATGTGGGTCCTGTGCCCTGGGCTGCGGTGCCATGGCCCGCTCTCTGTTGCTCTGCAGGCCTCTCGGGAAGCACTGTTTGGTGCAGCCAGGTTCCTAAAGTGGAGGGATCTTGAGCACCTGGTGACCAGGGAGCAGCCCTGGAGGTTTGGCGAGTGCCTGGTAAGGACAGCCCCAAAGCCCCAGTCCCTGGCTCCCCGAGAGCACCCAGCCCTCTGCTCCCCCCAAAGCCCGGCCCCAGCGGCTGCTGGCCGGGCCTCAGGGCTCTGCGGGCAGGGGAGCCCCGTGCTGGGGGCAGGGAGCGCCCGGCCAAGGGGCAGAGCCTGAGCCGAGCCTTCCCTCCCTGCCCTGGTGCTCTTTGCAGCTGGAAAAGGACAGGAGCCGAGTGGGCCAGTACGTGCGCCAGGCCCTGCCGTACCTGGAGAGCCCAGAGGAGCCCCTGCGAAAGCTGGCCATCAAGTTCCTGGGTGAGCCACAAGGCCGGGGTCCCTCCCCGCCCCGCTGCAGCTCGGCCCCAGCCCCGGCTGCTGCAGCGGCAGCAGGATGCGGCCCAGGGCATGTGGAGCCCCGAGTGGCCTGGGGCCTGCTGCCGCCCTGGGCCAGCCCAGCCCTGGGGCGTCCCCATGGGGGGGACCTGTGCCTCTGGGGCCCTGACAGCCTCTGTCTTCCCAGGGATCGCCGCCAGGTCCATGAAGCAGGAGCAGCCAGAGCTGCAGCTCATCTGCCAGGGTGAGGGAAGGCACCTTCCAGCTGATCCCCTTGGGCCCTGCTCCCTCCTGGCCATGGCAAGAGCTGCCTGGGATGGCCCGGGCAGGAGGGGCTCCTCGCGTCCCCCCACCCCTGGCCTCACCTTGGCTCTCTTTCCTTTCTCTTCCAGCCCTTCAAGGCATGACTGATGACAGCCCTGCCGTTTCAAACCTGGCACTTCAAACGCTCCACATCATCAGAGCTGTACGGAGAACTCCATTTTTCCCATTCTGGTAGTCTCCATTCCTGCCTCTTCCAGCCCGTAGAGGCGTGACAGGTGACATCAGACTCGCCATGGCAGGCCTGGCAATTCAACACTGCTACGTGCTAAGAGCTGTACAGACGGCTCCCTACTCCAGATTCCAGCAGCTCCAAGACTGGCTGTGCAGGGCGTGGAAGACCCGGCCTTTTCCGCAGGGCAGTGTCTGCCTGTGCTGCTGCAGCTCTGTGGAGAACTGATGAGGGAAGCTCCATCTCCTGGGGCCACGTGAGCCTGTGGGGAAGATGCTTCTTCCCTGCAAGCACCTCCTTTGAGCCCAGCATGGGAATACAACCAACATGTTATCACAAACAGAGGCCCAGGAGCTTTTTTTTGGTGCCCAGTGTGCACAGGGCCTTGGGGAAGAGGGGAAAAGGGCTCCTTGTGCTCAGCAACACTTGCCCTGCTGTGCAGCATGCCAGCAAAAGTGAGCAGAAGCCCCTTGGCCTTTGGTGGCTCTCCTGGAGCCTCAACGCTTGCAGCAGAGTGGAGGGGCAGAGGCTGGAGGTGTGGGGATCCCTGAGGACCTTGTCCTTGGAGATGGCCACAAGCCCTCCCCCAGGCAGGAAGCAGCGTCTGTGTCCTGCCTGTGTGTTGCTGGCTGGATTGCTCCGGGCTCCCAAGTGCCTCTGGAGCGGCTCCTCTGGAGCTCCTTCAGGGCTGCGCCGCTGCCGGGCAGGTTGGCGGGGCTGGGGGAGAGCCGCAGGGGAGGGGGCGCTGGGAGGCCAGGAAGGGGTGAGGTGCTGCAGAGGCCCTGATGGGACAAGGGAGCGGGAAGCCTTGAGGGGAATCTGGGAGGGGGTGGGTGGCAGAAGGCTGCGAGGGGACAGACTGGGCACAGGCCCCGAGGGGCAGGGTGGAGGGAAAAGGCCCCAGGACTTGGGGGGCAGAGGCCATAGGCAGCCCCCAGGCAACCACCTCCTTCCCTGCCAGCCGGCTGCTCTGGTGCTTTCCCGAGGCATCTCCCAGCCCTGTGGCAGAAGCCCTGGAGGCCTCAGCAGCAGGGTGGGCACAGCCCCAAGGGGGCCATGCTGGCCTGGCTGGGGACAAGGAGGGCAAGGGGGCCCTGCTGGGGTACGTCTGCCGGGTGCTGCCGGCCAGGGGCAGTGGCACGGGCAGGGCTGGTGGCCAGCCCGGGCCCCCGCGGCTGCCCAGGCCACGGGGCTGTGGCCGACACCCCGCTGAGCCAGAGCTCTGGGCCCGCAGAGCTGCTGCCACCACGGGCAGGGCGCTGGGCTCCTCGGGCAGGCCTGCGCACTCGCTGCTGCCCAAGCGGCTCCGCGCCCCACACACAACAGCACCAGAGGCTGCCCAGGAGCAGCAGCACCCACAATGCCAGGGTCTCCTCACCCAGGCACCCACACCCGCCAGGACGCCAAAAGTGGCCAGACTGTGGGCACAATTGCACCCGCTTTGGCAAAAGGCTTCAGGCCAAGTGGCCACCACAGCTTTCCAGTGACTCCCCAGCCTCACAGCAACCCTGGGCAGCTTCAGCTGCAGCCTGTCCTCCTCACTGACTTCAATGGCCCTGCTTGAGGCTGGACGTGCCTTCCACACTCAGCTGTCCCCAGCCAGCGCCATTGGTGCCATCCTTAGAGACTCTGCTGGGACACCAGCCTCGGGCTGCAGCTGCTCAACCTCTCCTCCACGCAGGCACCTTCAAAACACGGCCATGGGCTTCTAAACTCTACGTCCAGCACTTGAGGGCAACAAAGGAAGAAGCAGCAGAAGCTGAAGCAAAGCAGGGCCTCATGTGGCGGAGCTTCAGGGATGGAGGCAAGGAAGCACTGTGGTGTCTGCTGAAAAGATGGCCCAGTTCACCAGCTCACACTTTGCTGCTGGACGCTCCTCCTTTGGTCCTGCCGGAGCCCATTCCCTACCAGTGCATGGCCCTGCCTTGTTCCTGGATCCAATCTCCGCGACCCCTGGCAACAAGTGGGCCCTGTGTCCACCTGAGAGCAGAAACTGGCAGAACGTCTCTGCTTCCAGCACTTCTCTTGGCTGCTCCTTCAGGTGGGTGGCACCTTCATGGGAGACACAGAACAACTTCTCATCCCAGACTTCTCCCTGTCCCCTGCACTTCCCCAATGGACTGGACATCAGCTGCTGGCCACAGCTGAGCACACAGCAACTGGAGTGTTGAACATGCCAGACTGGGCTGATTTTTTTTTCCAGAAGGCAAGAAAACAAGAGAAAAGAACACAAGGAAGCTTGAGAGTCTCTCTGTCCAATCTACTTGTCCTCTGAAACAGCAGCTGATGGTGGTTTTGTGCTGCTGCTAATCACTTCCACCCAAAAATCATGCCAGTAAGGAACAACAGCTTCTGCCTTCTGACAGATGCCAAGTCTTGCCACCAATTGCTCCAGCTGCCGCTCCCAACAGCCACCTGCAAGAGGGCAGACCTCAGTGCCCCTTGGCTTTGGCTGCCCTCTGGCAGAGAAGTCCCCCGGGGGCACAGCTGTTTGGGGCAGGAGACGGGCAGCACCCTTGCCAGGACTCGGGGTGGTGGCAGGTCTCCTTTGGCCAGGACTTGCCAGAGGCTGTCCCTCAAGAATCCCGGGAGGAGGCAGGGAATTCTGAGCAGAGCAAGCCCTGCCCAGATGTCCCATCAGGAAGACACTGTTCTAGGGGGAATTCACTGGGTCTACCAACTCTTACTGACTGGCTTAATGACTCAGCCATGGTGTGTCCCTGTCACTCAGACCCTTCTTGGCCACACCTGACGTTTTGATTCGTGTGACTGACAATACCTTTAACACCCCTGTAAGTAATCCTTTTTATTTTAGTTGTATCACAGATCAAAACATACCTACCCTCCATCTATCATTAATAATTCCCATGGGCAGAAGAGCCAAACTGTGGCTCTCAGGGAACCTAAGCAGAAGCTAAGAGGATGATGCAGGATACAGTGAATTAAGGAAACTGTTAAATCCAGAAATCCTCAGTGGATGGCTGATTGCTTGGATCATCTCTGCAGCAATCCCGGCAGCTACCGCAGCCACGGCTCCTGCTGCACTGGCCATTCAGTGCAGGCCAGGCCTGCAGTGCCAGTGTATGGGCACTGTGGCAGCACCAGGAGCAGGTGTTTCAGAATCTGTTCCGTTTGAATATTCCAAATCCTCTGGAAGCGCATGGGATAAGCCCGAAGACAAGAAGCCCGGGTCCTGCCCTCTTGGCTGTGAAATCTGCGTGTCCAAACAGGGGCAGAGGTGGGACCAAGCGGAGTCACTCTGCACCTGCCCTGAGTTCATGGGAATGCAAAGGGAGGATGGACCTTGGCTGAGTGCTTGGAGAGAGAGAAGGTTGTTTCTCCAAGTGCAAATGCACTTGAACCAGTCTGCATGACCAGCCTGTTTTTCTCTGGTGGCTGAACACAGCCAGCACATGAGGCCAGGGGAATGTGTGGGATCAGGGCACTGCTTTGGGACGATGCTGGGAATTCCAGTGGACTAAAAGACAAACACTGGGTGCTGCTCATGAGAGAAGAGGAATAAAAGGAGACACGGAAAAGTGTTGGCTGACAAGTCCTGCAATGGAACTCTGTGTGTGCAGCCTCATTTTCTCCTTCAGTGCCAACAGGAGAGGGGGCAAAAAGTGGGGGTTGGGACCCCAAAACTGTTTGGGGGGAAACTGGGGATTGAGGGGACAATGGGAAAGTGGGAGGAACAGGGAGAAGGGTGGAAAAGGGAGGGTGGTCTGGCAGGTCCGGCAGTCCCATGGGGGTCTTTGGACACATGGGGGTTGGGAAAGGGTGGTGGCCCCCCTGAGCTCCCAACTTCCTGTGGGGTGCTGGGGGCTGCTGGATCCAATCTCAGCCTTGGATTATGTCAACACTTTCAGTTTAGAGGAATTACAAAGGTGTGATTGAAACACTTTTGTCCCCCAGGTTTTAATGATGGCAAATCAGATCTACTGATAGAAATTAGTTATTTAGGATTCCAAATGACCAGACAGAAGATCTTCATCAGAATTATTTACTACACAATACAAACACTAAAACTACCAGCAGTACAGGATGAGGTAGGACAGTGCTCTATACTAAAGCAATTGTTGAAGCAATTCTACTCAAGCTGGCACAAAAGCAAGAATTCTTAATTAGAGATGGATGGAACTCCCCCAGACCAACGCTCCTGGGGAGATCTCTGCTCTCAACCTCCAGCAGTGACCTTGGGGGGTCCCCAGCCAAGGCAGGAATCTCCACACACCCCCTCAGGAAGGGTTCTGTTGGCAGAACCTGTCCCTGGGAAAGGGGACTGGCCCTTTGTGGTCGAAAGGGATGGACTGACAGTCACTGGACTCCAGGGGTTGCCTCACCATCAGGGGGTTCATTCGGGGTGCAAGGAGCAGCCGAAGCTCTTCCTCCAGTTGGGGCACTGGTAGGGCTTCTCTTACTGGTGGGTCCGTTGGTGTCTGGTCAAGTTAGAGCTGTCAGTGAAGCTCTTCCCACACTCCCCACACTTGTAGAGCCTCTCCCCGGTGTGGATGCGCTGGTGGGTGATGAGATGTGAGTTCTGTTGGAAGCCCTTCCCGCAGTCGGTGCAGCGGAAGGGCCTCTCATCCGTGTGCGTCCGCTCGTGCCTGAGGAGATCTGAGCTGGTCTGAAACCTCTTCCCACATTCCAAGCACTTGTAGGGCCGTTCCCCAGTGTGGATGCGCTGGTGGATACGGAGGGTGGAGCTGTCACCGAAGCCCTTCCCACATTCCCCACACGTGTAGGGCCGTTCCCCAGTGTGGATGCGCTGGTGTTGGATCAGGTTGGAGCTCTGGCTGAAGCCCTTCCCACATTCCCTACACGTGTACGGCCGTTCCCCAGTGTGGATGTGCTGGTGCTTGAGGAGGTCGGAGCTCTTCCTGAAGCTCTTTCCACATTCCAAGCACCTGAAGGGCTTCTGCCTGCTGGGAGGTTGCTCAGGGACCAC